ATAGGTAATAAAAATTATGATAAAAGTTATAGAATTTGATGTTAAAATTCTATAAATATTACTCCAACTCCCACAAGGTGGCTTCTAAGATTCAAATAATGATAATGATAATTATATTGTAAAAGCCGAATTGTATTTTATATTTAAGAGTGGTTTGGGAGGGGATGGGATAAGAAAATCTTTAGAGAAAATAAAGGATTAAATAAGTAGGTAGTAGAATATAAATGAAAAAACTAATGAGTCAGCTATTTGTTTGTTAGCAATGTGGATGAATTATATATAGTTTGATTATATTGGTACAATGTGATCTCTTTTTGTTTTCTATTGCTGGGAAATTAAGCTGTGTCCCACAGGGTTATCTGAACACTGATGACTCCATGCATTCGTGCAAAACCAAAAGGAAAGCAAATAAAGCTGAAAGTAAAACAAAAGCTAAAGCACCCTCTTTCCTTTTCTTTTCTCTCCTCCTAAATTTTAACACCATCTCCTTTTCTTTCTTTTCATCAAACCCTCTTTTACACACACACCCTTCAATCATCACTACTTTCAAATCCAAATTAAACCCAGTTTTCTTCTTTCTTATATATATATATATATATAATATATCTCCTCCCTTTGTGCCTCCATTTCATGCCTTTTGTTTGGGATAACTTCTTAATTGCCTCCTAAATGGAAATTAGCCGTGACTTGCGTCTTCTCTCTAGTTTTTACCACATGTCACAGGAAAATTTTTGGAAAACGCGTTACTTTTATTTAGAGGCTACTCAAGAGGTTTCATCAAATTGCATGCACACTTCTTGCTTTTTTGTCCATACACTGATTTTCTTAATTGTTGAAAAAATATTATACTAGATATATTTCTTAGATATTATGCATAATCTCTTAATCATGGAAGAGAGGTTGTTGAAAACTAAAAAGAAAAAAAATTATGTAAAGTTTTACGAAATTTTAAGAGTGTAATTAAGTGTATAACCTACTCCCAAAATTTAAATATAAATATATTTTTAATTCTTTAAATTTAGAATAAATTTATTTTTTTCTTCTCAAATTTAAAATTAACTTTTTCATTTTTTTTTATAATTTTAAGAAATCTTATTTCAGTCTCTTAAAATTACTAACTATATAACTGATTGTAACAAATTTGAGATAATTATGTAACAATATTATTTGGACTTAATATGATATTTTCACTAACAAATTCACTAATAAGTCATTTTTGTGTGAAGATTAAATAATAAATGAGTTTATTTGATAGATTTACTAACTATATTTGTACAAAGAGGATAAGAGACTACAATAATTTTTTTTTTTAAATTATAGAATTAAAAAAATAATTTTAAATTTGAAAGACGAAAACTAAATTTACTTCATATTTCAAGTATTAAAATATATTTAAATCTAAATTTATATTATAATTTAGAAAAAAAATATATAAAAATCGCAAGGTAATTATTATGTTTTAATAAATTTATTGAATAATCCCAAATTTGACTATTAAATATTGCGTTACATAGTTGGTAGAAGGAGAGCAACCACAAAAAATAATATTAAGAAAAAATGATAACTATTTTGAATAACTATATATTATATCTATATAAATCAGAAATTAACTTAAGTATTAATGACAATCATCCAATATCATTACCGCATGTTGCCATAATTATGAGACGTGATTAAATTTCATGTGAGAGTAATTAAAATTAATAGAACAAAATGGTTTTTGGGTCGGATAGTACGTACCCGCTAATGCTATTCATTTCACGTTATTAAAATTACAGTCAAAATGGTTCATATTTCTTAAGATGCAGAGAGGGGTGCCCATTGCAATAGACTTGTAAAACAAATTGGATTGGGATATGTTTTCAATTAATTAATCCTCAATAAACATATGATCACGATCTTCTACACTTTATTTTCAACGGCTATTAAAGTTAAATTTTCATTATAAAAAGTATAATAAAACATTATTAATGATGCAAAATTAAAATGCATCATTTGCATTTATATTTTGGCGGCTATAGGGGATTCGTATCCCATAACCTAAAGAACAAGTTGGATTAACTCGTTAAATAGACCAATTTTTTCTTGACTTTTGGCTATGTACATTAACTTATCATGCGATACTAGGCTATTTTTTTTATTAAAATTTATTTCTTTTCAACTTATTTTATTATTATTGATGAACTTATATGTAGACATTATATTGGGATTTATTTTATTATTATTGTTCATGAATTTATTTGTGAAACCGGAATTGTAATGTTGATTTATTTTAATGTTATTATTATATGTGCTTCATTACAAATTTGTATCATTTTTAATTTTATAGCATTTTTTTTGTCAATAGCATTTTTATTTAATTATATTTTATCATAAAATTTGAGAAATAATTAAGATAAATAAAATAAAAAATATTTTTAATTTTTTTTTATGAGTTACAGGCCAACTCAACTCAACCTCTCAATCAACTACGAACTAAGTTGAGTTGAAATTTTCAATTCAATAAAAGGATGATTTCATCACATCTCAATCATTTAGCTAGCGAATTGAGAATAGGTTGTATAAAGTTAGTCGAAATAATACTCTTATAATGTGTTTAAATGAAATATTTTAATGGAGTAATTTATTTTTTTAAAAAAATTAAATATTTTAGAATGAAATATATTATTTGAATAAAGAATTTATAAAAAATTTAAAAAATATTTATCAAATTCTTTAAAATTATTAAATTTCAAATTTTCTCAAAAAAAAAATCAAAACCTTAAAAATTTTCTTATATACTTTTCTTTATTTTTTTTCCTACATATCTTTTATCTCTATCTTTTCCACTCATAACTTTCATTTTGCCTCTCTAATCCCCTCCCCCCTCTATTCTCTATCCTTTTTCTCTTCTCCTCTTTCCTTTTTTTCTTCTCTTCTCTTTCTCCTTCATCTCTTCCTTCTACTCTCTCATCTCTTTCTCTTTCCTCCATCTCTCCCTTCTCATTCTTGGTTGGTTTTTCTCCCATTTTTTTTTTTAATCTCCTTCTCCTTCATTTCAATACATATTGTCATAAAAATATTAATAATTTTAATGATTTCATATTCAACCTTAAAATTATTAAATATTATCTAATATTTTTTAAAACTATTAAATATTTAGAATTAACTAATGTTTATTTTTATAAATTTTAATTTAAAATTTTAATATATATAATTAAAATCAGGTTTTTCTATGTGTAAATTAAAAAATTATTTTATTCATACTAATAATTTAAAGTTTGAGAAATTTGAGTTTATTTATCATGATAAAACATTCAATGAATAAAAAAAATTAAAATCAAAGTAATTTAAATTTTAAATTTATTAAATTTCCAAAATTTCTCATTCAATTGATTTAGTTTCAATTTTAAATCCAATCTAAAATAGGTTGAATATTGAATTGATTTTTACTTTTAGATATATTGTTTTAAAGTTATTATATAACTAATAATTGTATAACTCTTTAAGTATAGATTGTTAAAAATAAATTTAAACATGGTGAATTATCTTTATATAGTTTTATTCAAATATTTATTAAAAATTATATATATATATATATGATATTACTTAGCAGAACAACAATAATGACTATATATTTGTTGAGGAGGATATAAATAATATAAATGTTAGTAAAATATTCAGCTGTACATCGTGGCAAAATTTAAAATGTTAGGATAATTTTTCCTACTGTTTAATCGAAGAGCCTAAATATTGCATTAATCTATAAAGAAGCAAAGAAATATTGTAAAACTGACTAATCATACTTTTTATTTTTATTTTTAAGTGTTAATTAGTTATGTTTGTCTTAATGTTTTTTGGTTGGTACTCTTACGTACCATAGTCTTATGGTAGTATATCACACATCTTATGCATATGCTATTAACTTTAACTAATAAAATTATTATTATTCTTTTAAAGAAAATGAAAATGCCATTCAATTTAATATAAATTTCAATTTTTGTTTTACTGATTTTTCAAGTTTTGTTTTTATTTTTTATTAATTGAATCAGTTTACGAACACTCCTCGTGAGCGCAGTGTTAAAAGAATTCGATTACTTTGGATTTTATTTTGTTCATCACTTACTTAAATGAGTTTCTTCCCCCCTAATTTACTCGTATACTAAAAATTATAATCCTCAAATTTGAGAGTGAGAATCACACTCCATTCACTCTCTCAATGAGGCATATTCACAACTATCTCTTCTTTTTTTAACTTCTCGTTAAGAGTTGCATTTCTCACACACGTTTCAAGACTAACAAAAAAAATTCTCTTTTATTTTATTTATATAATTGATTTTCTTAATCATTTCAATTTAAATATAATTACTTATCCCAATTTAAATCATTTATTATAATATAATTTATATATTTGAAAGATATTTATTATAAAATTTTATTGTATAAAAAGTATTTATCTTTCCTATGTAATACACAATTTAAAATACCAATTAATTTTTCCTCGATCAACATTTGTATCATTAGCATCTCTAGCCAATGTATCTGCAACTCGTTTATTTATTTATTTTTTAGTTTAGAGTTTATTTTGTTGTAGCCGTCGTTATAATTGTTATGGGTATTTTTTTTTTTTAACTTATCGATAAATTTGTTGACAAATATAAGAAAATTAATTTTCTCCATTAAAGGAGGGGGAAAGATATTTGAGGGGACTTTATTTTAAACATAGATATAAAAAGGAAAGCCTACCTTCGTTTCGTATGTTTGCATTTTCCTCGGAAAACCATTTAGGCATAAGGAATATAGATTTGTTTTTTTCTTTTTTAGTTTTCCTTTTTAAAAACAGCATACGTTATCATTGCCCCTTTATATGTATATATCTTGACTATGTTCGTATTCCTTTTGACACTTTATTTAAAATTTTCAGTCTTTTCCTAAGTCTATATTCTCAATTCTATCTTTTGTTCCTAAAGTGTAAAGCATGTGCCTAGGCGTAGAATTGAATATAGGATTAGGAACCCAACTTTGGTGGAAATATCTAAATATTTCATAAATGTAAAGTGCTCCATTACAATTACCAAGGATCACTTCATACTTTTAACATAGCTCTCTCTCTCACTCACTCACTCTCTCTCTCTCTCTCATGTCTCTTTCTTTCTCTCAGATTGCAAAAACATACAAATCAATTAGATTTCATATATTTACCAAGAAAATATAAAATGTTGATTTGGATCTCACAAGAACTCTGATAGGAAGGCCATGCTTTTTTCCCCCACCCCTTCCTTTTGTTGCTTTCTGTCTTTCTTGTCTCCTTGTGTTTCTTTAGCTCCTTTTGCTTTTCTTTTTTTTCTCTTTTGTTTTCTTTTAGCTTTCTCTTTCTCTGATTTTCTCAGCGGGTTCCTGATTCTCATATTCCTGCGCTCTACCTCTTTCAGTTTCATAATAGTTAATCATGAATAATATATATCCAGATCTCAAATTAAAGTGGCTGCCCCAAGCTGAATTCCAAATCCAAATTAGGCTTCTTAGGGCTTGATCCTGAAAGGTTTGAGGATGAACTTCCATCTGATATTCTCTCATAGCTTAGGCACTTTGGATCCATTTCCTTCTGAAAAAAATAATTAAGTAATTAAGAACAAGTCAAATATCAGAAATCAGAATGTATATAATTATAAATTAATGATGAGAATATGATCAAGGGGAAGATATTAGAGTAGCATAAGAGAAGTGTGTGAACAGGTTTTGGGAATCAAAGAACATTTGACTCAGAATAATTTCAGAATATTTATATCAAACGAGGAAAAAGAAACTTCAAATAGGTTCACACCTAAAAGCCTTCTAGTGCTAAGTGATAGTATTTTGAATGTTCATGAGCTAGCTAGCTTACAATTATTTTTCTGCATAGCATTACCATTTACTAACATTCATGTGTGTGTGTGAGTGTGTCACCTATAATTTCATAGTCTAGACCATTGATCATTGAGTCAAACGGGTAGGTTTAGGGTTATATGGTCCTTTTCAATATGGTGATTAATAATCTTTAACTAGAGGAACGTCTTTTACGGCACAATTTGTTTATAAGCGTTGTAACTAGTGTAAATGCGAAAAGGACTGGTCTACCCATTTGAATTTGTGAAGGACAAAGCAGCTTTATGGAAAGCCTTTTCCTTTTCTCATCTTTATAATGTGCATGGCAAGTTGAAAAAGATCAAACGTATTTCCTTTCACTCTCAACTCCCTTTCATGCATTCCAAACGCAGCTTGGTATTTGTGTATAAATATAACTTTTGAAACAAAAGGCCAACCTTAGGCAATAAAGGGGAATAAAATGAGTAATTAACATTTACATACCTCAAGAGAATGCACGTTTCCAACAGAATCAGCCTTTGTCTTCCCATGCAACCAAGCTTCCCTGTTACAACAGCCAATCACATTGTAAGAATATTTCCCATAATATAACCATGTAGTAAGAAAAAACGAAAAAAGGAAAGCCATCTTTCATTGTCTTAATTATTTATAACAATTTATCATTAACAAAGTCTAACTCAATTGATTGGATAAAATGAATAATAAATATTATAATTAAATAGCACATTATACATGACTATAATATATTTATGTATGTATATAAGAGGGAGGTCCATTGAAGGAAGTTTCAAAGAGCATATTGCTTTGGCACCCATATTTCTAATTATGGGTCTACCAAGGGCTTAGCTTTGACGCTAAGTTTCCGAGTTGTAGGGCCCATATAATAGGCTAATGTCTGAGCCCCACAAAATCCGAAGGAAAGAGATATCTCTATTTTTAAGGTGGATTTTTGCAAATATGAAACTCCTGTCTCTCTGAATGGTAGGAGTGTGTGTGGGTTCCTTTTTTACTCCCTTTTCACCCACTAGAAGAGATTATATTATTACCCCATCATGGAGATTGGATGCTCATGGCTTGTGGACAGACAGAACAAAGCAAACTGAAATGATTTATTCTTTTTGTGATTTTTTGCGCCTAACCATGTTTGCATGTGAGGTTGAGAAAGAGAGAGAAATGTTCATGTGAATAAGACATGCATGAATTGCTCTGATTTTTCTTAGTATTTTGAAACATGACCGCCGGAGAATCATCGAATGGAATATAAAATTGAAAAAATAAAAGGGAACAAGAAAAATATTGCTTACAACTTGATCATAATGTTTTTCTTCAATGTAAAAAAAAATATCACTTCATAGGAAAATAAACATGTTGCAAATATCATTTAAAACAAATGCTGGATAATACATTAATGAAGTATGGAGACCTTAGTAAAACTGACACTTCTCTTCAATATAGTTTTCAAGCAAGATAACTCTACGTGATACATATATTAATCATACCATAAAACGAAAAAATTCCCCTAAAGAGAACATATAGGTTTAATTTGAAATGATTATATTTACATAATAATAAAAAATGGACAAGTCTTCATATTTTTATAACTAAGCAAGAAGCATTACCTGGAATTGTTGCCCCAAAGGCCATGATAGTCCTTATCTTGATTAACACTTGATCTTCCCTGCTTAATGGATAGATCAGATCTTCTTGAGGATTTTATGTCAAACATTAAGTCATCGGAAGTATCTCCAGACGACCCATTATCATACACATCCGATTGCCCTAATTCATGATTAAAGGGGAAGGAAAAAATTTAAAAAGTTAGATACATGTACAACGATAATGGATCAACAATATTAAACTTTCATGGCTTAATCTTCCAACAATGTTAAACACAACGAAAATAGACACTAACCTGATGAAGCCGCTGCCCTATCTGTAGTTTTCACCGTCCGGTACATCTGGATTTAAATTTGTGCATCATAAACATCAGATAACATATACTCCATATAGCTTATAAGTAAATTAAAAAACAACGAAATAAACCCTGATGCCAAAAATAAAATATTAAAAAACAAAGAAATATATAAAGCCTGATGCCAAAAATTAAATATTAGTAAGTATTTATTGTTATTACTATTTGGTTTGAAAAACATGAAAACTAAAGAGGAAGCTTAGCAGAAATGCTAGAAGATGCAAGTTGTGAGTATTAAATTGATGTGAAGTAGCATAGTACAAGTTCTAACACAGGAGCATTTATGGTTAAGGCAATATGCATATGCATGGGAGCATGTGACTAACCAGGGTTAAAGCTGGCATGGTAAAGAAACCCAAATCTGAGGAACGGATCATTGAGAAATGATGGTGTTGGGTATATACGTACTTGCTTATCATTTATTTTATTTTATTTATTTTTAAATGCAATTTAAGTAAATGGAAATTATTTCTTTAATGGCATGGACTGAACTATGAGCTTGTCTGATCTCGGCTTGGCTGCGAGTCATTTTGGATTCATAGGGCTTTGTCCTACTCGTTTTCAGAAATCGATAAGTACCTCACTCTCTTTCTCTCTCTTATTTTATTTTCCCTTTTTCCCCTTTAACTCGGCTGGTTCATTCTTCCAAAGCAAAAAGCTGTTTATTAGGTTGCAGAAGAAGCAGAAGCAGAGGCAGCAGATCTAATAGAAAAAGAAGCGCTAAGAATTTGAGAGACCCTTTGTAAGGAAACCATTGGAATTTGAAATATATATTCATCACTTAACTGCTTCCTGTAATGTAAATGTAGCCTGTGAAACTTAAACACATATATACGCATAATAGTACTTCTTACAACCCCCATTAAAACCCCAATCAGAACCGTACCCTTCAACCTAACCCAACAAAACCAAAATTTAACAAAATTAAAACACTAATTAACCTCAACCATTATTTAATTAACATACAGACACTAAATGAGATTATTTACAAACAAGTGCAATTAACTAACAACCTTAATATATTACCTGTAAATGAGACTTAACATGTGCTAAAGTGAGATCCTTCACATCCATTAGCTCAAGAACTGATTTAGGCGTGGCCCCTAAAAAGAAAGATTAATTGAGAAAACCAAATTAGTAATTAAGAAAGGATAAGTGAAAAAGCAAGGGTGTAAGAAGAAAGGGAAGAAGGAGAGAAGCATACTTTCGTGGCCACCTAAGAGTTCAACGGCATGAACAAAGCGAGCATGGAGGGTGGAAGTCCAACGCATCCTTGGAGCCCTCATGCTACGCTTGGCAGGGAAGCGTGACAAGAACCTTGATCTCATGAGAGCCTGAGAGTGGAAAGGGGTGGAGGGTGAGTTTGTGTTGGAAATAATAGAAGATGGGGTGGTGGAGGAAGGTTCTAGAGGGAGATGATGGTGGTGGTGGTGGTGGTGTTGGGTGAATGGTATTGGAGGAGGGTTTTGGTACACGGGGATTCCTCTAATGGGTCTGAGAAAGCCAAGGTCTTGGCTTAGGCTTTGGTGGTGCTGAGGCTGGAACAGTGGCTGGTGGAAGTAGTGGTTTTGTTGAAAGGGTTGGAAGGGGTTGTTGTTGCTGTTGCTGTTGCTGTTGTTGTTGTTGGCACCGTTTTGGAAGTGGTGAATGAGGTTGGGGTCTGAGGCTTTTGGATTAGAGAGTGAGAGGTTGAAGCAAGAGTCTTGTTTGGCCATTGATGTTATGGAGTTTCTAGAGTCCAAAGCTCTCTTCAAGAACCCCAAATCCATCTCTTCTTCTGTGCTTCTCCTCCAACTTGATGTTGGTTTGGTGTTTGGAGGGCTGATTTGTAAGGACAAATCTGGTTGTGCTGGGAACAGCTCCATCCAAAAAAAGCCTATTTGGCTTCTCAAGCTCTTAGTTTAGTTGTGTACTTTGATCTTTTCCTTTTGCCGTGCAATAATATTGTGTAGTATATATAGTATGAAGGTTTTGAAGGATTTTGAAGAGAGTGTGGAATTTGTTGTGGGTGCTAGGTGAGGGTAATTAATAAGATTTTGTGGATGGAGTTTGAATGAATTTGGAGTAGTTGCAGAGGAGAGATTTGAGATTGAGAGAAGAGGGCAAAGAGAAAGAGAGAGAGAAGACAAGGTATGTGAAGTGAATGGCTGTTTCTTTTGTGTAAAGTATATGTGAGAAAATGACACTTAAGGGACTATACTATAGGGGGTGGTGGGCATGAGAGAGATAGAGAGAGAAGGTTTTTTCTTTTGTGGACGTGGGGTGAGAAAAGGGGAAAAAGAATGGCAAAAGGAAATAATCAAAAAATAAGATAAGGAAGGGAAAAAAGAAAAGAAAAAGGTAAATAACTTGTAACTTTTATTCCTTTTTACAAATATACTCTTTTTTCTCTTCGGATTATAAATGGAAAAGCAGGACATTTCACATACACCTTTAGCGTGTGCATTGTTTTCCTCTACAAATTAAACTTTCTAACACACGTACACAACACCCCTTTCACTGGACTGAAACCTAGGGCATGGTTCTTTTCTACAGATTCTTAAAAAATAAAATTAAAATTAAAATCCTGAATTTTACAGTCACATGATTGCTCGCAAATTTCAACATCTTGGGGATTTGTTTTGTTTTGTTAACAGCCCAATTATAAACCACTCATTGAGGTCATGATGAACCCTAATTCTCCGCAAATCACATCATGCATTCTTCTTAGCATAAATTTGGACCCATCCATCTTATTCTTGTCATATTCTTTTTATAATCAACCAAGAAAATCAAAGGTATATTTGTGGGTTGTATCCAAAATGAGGACAAAATGAAAAGTCACATTTACCCCTTATTTTATTTGCGTAACGTATTGAAGGAGTATCTCTAAGGTGGGTAAATTTGTCTTTTGAACAATAGGGTCCGTAAGTCATCAAATAGACATCGTAATGTACTAGACTAGGGAATGTATACAAATTAGAGACATATATATCCCTAGACATACCAAAAGGAATCAATACATTTTTAATATATATATATATATATATATATATATATATATATATATATATATATAGTTTTA